CTTTTGTTGCTGGAGATACTGTTGCCTTGTGTGTGTGTGTGTGTGTGTGTGTGTGTGTGTGTGTGTGTGTGTGTGTTTACGTGCAGACATGTTGAGACGAGTTATTTTCAAGTCTTTACAAAAGAGTGATCAACTTGACAAAGCAGCGCCTCAGCCTGAGTATGTAGGGAAACAGAAGCTTTGATCAGCAGTGAGATGAAACGGGGAGCTGCAGTATCCCGTTTAACCAAACTGACATCTGCCTCGTCTTTTCTGGAGAGCCTCAGTTGACCCGGCAGATAAAGAAGTCGCTTTAAAAGGGGACAGCACGTTTAGCTCTGCTGAACATCTAGGGAACGTTTAAGTAATTACATCTAATGAGAACACTTTTTGTCCCTGGGGATCAGCAGGTTATCTGCAGGGCCTTCTCGAAACTGTATCTAGGCATAAGGTTTGAAAGGTCTCATCTTAGAAGAAGGAAGAAAGATCTCAGCCACGAACCATGAATCACAAACACATGGGCTTGAATTTACTCACATCGTCAATTCACCAACACTGAATCCAGCAGGCAGTTGTTGACAACATCCAGTTTGTGAAATCGGAGACTCTAAATACCACAGTCCTGTACCAGGGACAGACAGTTCAATTCAATATAGTTCAAATCACAACAGTCACATCAAAGTGCTTTACATTGTAAGGTAGACGCTACAATAATACATACAGAGAAAACTCAACAATCATATGACCCCCTGTGAGCAAGCACTTTGGCAACAGCGGGAAGGAAAAACTCCATTTTAACAGGAAGAAACCTCCAGCAGAACCAGGCTCAGGGAGGGGCGGGGCCATCTGCTGTGATTGGTTAGTTAAGGGAGGATTCAGCCAGTTGATCCAGCCCTCACTGTAAGTCTAAAGTCGAGCGGGTGTGTTATATCGGGGTGATACAGAACCATGACGTGTTGAAGATGAGACGGGACCACTGAGAGGCAGTCGACGATTTCATTTCCCACTGGATCAATCTACTGACATGTTACAATGTATCCAGCCAAGACTTAAAGCAAACACTGTACTGGGATCTGTTCAGAATAATTTAGGTTAATTACAACTTGGATCATGTTTTTCTAGCTTTGGACATCAATTGGTCATTACTGATACTGTGTTGTTTTTGTTCTTGTTCATAGTTTTGTCTATGTGTTGCTTAAGAAACATGATGGAGTTCTCTGACACCAGGTTACTGTGTGGATTAGCAGCTACTGTCAGAAACTGCTTAGTTTGAATTAACATCATTATCGAACTGCCTTTTTCTTTCAGCACTGATGGTCAGCTGGTCAAACATGTCTTATAACACTTATACTCACATACAAGTAAACCGACATTTCCAAAGAAACATCTTTTTATCTCGAGACAAAATGCTCTTTATGAGAAAAAATGAAAAATGTGAGAAAATATGAAATACATTATTTTATGGACAAACACTGCGCCACAGTAAGTCACAGACTGCCACAATCATGAACTCAGATCTGTCAACTCCAACACCTGTTCACCTGGTCTGTGGTCACAGACATTTGTAAAAGAGTGGGTCATCCTAAAGAGTTTGAGCACCGTGCTCACAGAATTTGAGCGCGGTGCTTTCATACTAAACCACCCTAAGTCTGTTTTTGTTTCTTCCATCTTAGACATTCGACAGTCAGCTATAAGTGGTATTATTGCAAAGTGGAACCTCTTAGGAACTAAAGTGACTCAACCATGAGACAGCAGATCATATAAAGTGGCAAAGCAGAGTAACTGAGTGCTGATGCTCGTAGTTAAGTCACCACCAGTCTGCTGATCTAACAACGTCCTGTGGAATCATCAGGACAAAAACTATGCATCAGATCTTCATGGTATTCGTGGCCCAATACTTTTGTGCACATAGTGTATCTCAGAGTTTCAAAGATCCACATCGTATGGCAACCAAGTGGCAAAGGCAATCCATCACAGTCAGTAGAGGAGCAAAAATAGATGAGACTATCTGTGACAAAATCTAAAATGAAAATATTAGAATTGAGAAAGTCGTTTACTTGTATGGGAATATTTCTCTAGAAGGCAGGAGCTCTGTTATTTAAAATGTTCTTTGTCTGTTTTCATAGCAGTGACAGCAGATGTGTATCATCCTCAGAAAGAAGCTTGTTGTTTCTTTTTAGACTTTCTTCATTAATTTTATTTTATTATTTAGTTTTTGTCCTGTAACAAATGAATTCAGCATCATGAATGGTTTTCAGGAGTGTAAATAAAACATGAGGATGTAGTGTCTGATATTCCCAAGTCCCAGTTTTATAAGATTATCATGTTTGGCACCCGTGCTGGCAGCGTTCCTTTAATCCTGCTCATGAGCTGGGACACATTTTGAGTTTCAAAGTTACCTGAAAGACGTTTTTTTTAGTGTTTCTGGAAATTTGGGACCTTTATGATAAAAATAACAACAATTCCAACAATACGTACAATCCCACATATGTCATGTACACTAAGTAAATATATTACTTAAAAACATACAAAGTAGAAAACATGGGTGTAGCTTATATGTCAGAAAAATAAAGTTAAGTTCATGAAAACCTGCATTCATCTGCCACCAGATGGCAACAGCTGTGGTTGCAAACAGACTTGCAGTCCTATAGAAGTCTATGGGAAAGGCTTTCTGACGTGACCCCTGTAAATACTGTCCTGCTGAGTTTATTGGCTCAGTCACTCATTTTGGGTCATATTGACTAAAAAGGTCTCTTTTGTAAATCTTGGTTATACCACCCCATATGGAAAAGATATATATAAATCTTATAAAGTTTGTATCTGTCTTGTGTGAAAAGCATATAAGAGTGAAAACAGATATAAGATCCCTTGAAAAATTATATAATGAAACTTGTTTTGGATACTTACTAAAACAATGTATGAAAGTAATGAGAAAGTGGCCACTTTCATGAGTAAATCACATATAAGTTTTTACTATTTCTTTTCCATATGGGACGGCTCCAAATGGAGGATTATCTGTGACAGGAACTCACACGTGTGGAGGGATCTCACGACCAGATTATAGGTGGCAGACAGTTGGTGTCATAAGCCACTCCCTCTCGTCACGGATGGCTGTTCACAGTGGACGTATAGATGGCTTCTTTCACTCGTTGCTTTTCTTTCCCCCTCAGATTACAACGACCTGGATGTCCGAGAACCTTCACAGACACAAACAGAATTAACCTTTGATAGCAGAAAACCTTTGGTATGCTTGTTGCTTTATCATATCAAAGCTGCCTCACATAATATCCTTATCAAAGGTGGGTCACAGCTGATTAGGCTAAAAGGGAATCATTTCAGACACAGCATAGCAGATGAAACTGTGTGGCTGTAAATTCAACAATGTTCCAGATACAAATATTTTGTCTCCACATTGAATTCACATTAAAGTGTCAGGCGCCGTCTGAGCTGTGCGTGTGAGATGAACCTCACCATCAAGCTGGATCAATGAGGCCTTAAAGTGCAATATCACTGAAGGCTGCTATAGCCAATGACTCTCCAGTGTCTTTGGCTCCAATGGACCAATGTTTTAACAAATACAAAGGAAAGTAAACTTCTGTCGTGAAATGAAGCCGTTATGAATTAGGATTACTCTGAACCCTAATCCTAACTGTAACTCTCATCATTGCTGGTTTAAAACAACCTTATGTAACTCAGATTTGAAACATCATAAACAAATATGTGTACAATGGTTCAAATAAGCTTCTTGCTCTAATAAACTGAGATGTTAATGATGAAGGTTCCAAACTCAAGCTTCTGACTGATCGTATCAAATCAATGGGTGATGTCACGATGGCTATTTTCACTTAATCTATATGAATTATGACCGTCTGATTTTTTGGTTATCTCTGTGTGTGTATGGATGGGCGGTTTGATATTATAAATCCACTGCTGTGTGGAGACAGTTTCATGCTCCGTCCATGTCGGTTTCCTCATGATGTCCGACACACGGCAAAAGCAAAAGTAAGACATGTTTAGGCAGACGTCATCATCACATATAAACTGTTTTATTAAATAATTCAGTGTCAGTCAACATTAAAAAGACAGTCGTCCAAAGAGGATGGACCAACAAATGAAATTATGATCAAATACTGCAAATAAAGTAGTTTTTCTGTTGATTCTGTTCATCTGGATGTTTTCAGTGGGAGAAACGTTTCGTCGCTCATCCAGGTGACGTCTTCAGTCTCAGCTGACTGCAGCTTTCCCCGATCTTAGATTTTTATAATCCAAATTAATGTTCTATGCATTTTTAATGCAGCTAACACGAGCCACAGTTTTCAGTCACCGTATATTTTTCCAATTTTAAGAGAAAAACTAGGAAACATTTGTGACCTGGCCATAAACAATACTGTGCAAAGGGTTTGAGAATTGTTTTTATTGCTCTTGCAGTAGCATCAGAGAGGAATCTGAGCACCCGCCGACGCACTTCGGCAAAACAACATTTACTTATAAACAACTGCTTTAGCTGCCAGAAAATAGACAGTGAGGTCCTTATAGGTCGCTGATCTCAATATGATAAAACCAATATAAGAGTCCGTGAAAAGAAAGAGACGCTGATAAAAGTTCTTGAAGCACTGAACAGCTTAACGTCCAGGTAACTTGACTGCGAGTGTACTTTTCTCCCACTGTGCTGTGACTAATGTTAACTGAGAAAGAATCGTCACATTACTTTTAGTACATTAAACATTTGCACAGTCATCTATGTAATCCTGTTTCTGACCACTGACGTTTTTATTTCAAACCGGCATTTTTGTTGAGTGTCAAGTTTGATTTTGTGAAGCTGATTTTCTACACAGCCTTTGTGTACACGGCTGAACATGTGAGGGGGTGTGGGCTCGGTCAGTTCATCAAATATAGCCCAGTAAAAACTGATGCTTATGAGAAAGGTGGGCAGCACGTGCAGCTTTTGTATTTTTTCATTCATTGGACTCCTTCTTGATTGCATCTTCAGTATTG